TACACATCACACATATCATACATACAAATACTACATACATATTCATACATACATTTAATAAATAAACATACCATACAACATACATTACTTATAATATGGGGTCTCGCGTGTACTCCCCCGTGGCTGTACGTCGTGTTACAGTGTGTGTTCGTGATTGTGGTGTGTGTCGTGCCGTGTGTTTCCTGATTGTCTGTCAACATTACCCCCCGCTGTCGGTGTCACCCCTTTGTCCAATCACATCTCTATTAGTAGACGTCGCCCCATACGTGTACGGCGACCATAAAATCAGTGTGGTCGTGTGTGTGTCACTGTACCGCCTGGTTTTTAGTGCCTTACCACTTTGCCGTCACGGAGACTGTTTCACAAACAATAAATTGCCAGATATCAGCTCAATCTTCGTGCTAGATTATTTTCAAAAACTATAATTGTGGGGGGGAAAGGGGAAGGAGAAAAGGGAAGAAAGCCAGGGCCAGTAAATGTCTTCATGAAGTTGATACGATAGCATAGGATGCCACCAACACATCCAGTCCCTTGTTACAAAAATTTGTTGGACTTTCTCCCTGCTTGCATAGCCAAAGAGCCAAGGTAAGACCCTCGCCCCTCCAAAACACCACCACACAAAAAACCAACAAAAACAGAATGATATTACCGATTTAATTTTCTAAAAACCATCATTTGTTGATATTCTTTCAGATAATAACAATATATTGACCGACGAAGCACACGCCGCCAAGATCCCCCACGCCTCCTGATTCTTGTACGCGCCGGTTGATAGGTCGAATATTAAAAAAAGTAGAAGACTCACTTATTTTAAAGAAAAAGAGGTAGAGCAGCATAACTGAAAAAAAAAAATATATAATATTAATTATTTCAAGAAGTACTAGGCCTCATTCTTGATTTTTTCCAAAACAACCCCGACGGTCCCAGGTTGGGGAGTACGTCACAATTGCCACTCCAAGCCCCGCAAAAAGGCTGGAGGATGTGCCGCCCGGTACTGCCCAGGCCAAAAGGGTGGCCCGAAAACTATCCTACACGTCAATCTAAAACGCGCCGTTTTGGGAAATGCACATCCAGAACGTGCTAAAATCAACGCTCCTCGTCTCCCCCCCCCCCCCCCCTCTTCTCTCTCTCTCTCTCTCTTCTTCTTCTCTTCTCTTCTCTCTCTCCTCTCTCTCTCTTCCTCTCTCTCTCTCTCTCTTCTCTCTTCCCTCTCCTCTCTCTTCTCTCTCTCCTCCTCCTCCTCCCCCCACTCTCTCTTCTTTCTCTCCCCCCCGTATCTCTCTCTCTCTTCTCCTCTCTCTCCTCTCTCTCTCTTCTCTCTCTCTCTCTCTCTCTCTCTCTCTTCTCTCTCTCTCTCTCTCTCTCTCTCTCTCTCTCTCTCTCTCCTCTCCTCCTCCTCTCCTCTCTCCTCCCTCCCTCCTCTCTTCTCTCTCTCTCTCTCCTCTCTCTCTCTCTCTCTCTCTCTCTCTCTCTCTCTCTCTCTCTCTCTCTCCTCTCTCTCTCTCTCTGTCTCTCTTCTCTCTCCTCATTCTCTCATCATCTCTCTTTCTCTCTCTCTCTCTCTCTCCTCTCTCACCGGAACTTCTCTCCCTGACTCTCTACATATGCTCAATCTCTGTTCGTGCGCGTCTGTCTTACCCCCTTCACCCTTCGCATCTCCCTGCCTCATCTCCCTGCCCTGTTCTCTCTCTTCCTCTTCTCCTCCATCTCTCATCCCCCACGCCACTCTCTCTCTCTTCCATCTCCCCTCTCTCTCCCCATGCATCTCTCTCCCCGGGCGTCTTCTTCTCGGAACCCTCTCTCTCTCCTCGCTCTCTCCTCTCTCTCTCCTCCTCCACTCTCTCCTATCTCGTTATCTCTCTCCTCTCTCTTCCTCTCGTCTCTCTCTCTACCTCCTCGTACTCTCAATCCTCCCTGACTCTACATCATCACCTATCCTATACTCACCTCTCCCTCTGCTGCCTGCCCTCTCTCATTCCTCTCCTCGCATCTTCATCCTATCTCGTCTCTCTCTCTCTCTATCTTCTCGTACCTCATTCCTACCTTCTCATATCCTCTCTTTCCTCCTCTCATTCTCTCTCTCTCTCTCCTCATCATCCCCTCACCCTCCCTCCCTCTCCCTCCCTCCCTCCCCCCTCTCTTCTCTCTCTCTCTCTCTCTCTCCCTCTTTCAAGTTCATTTCCCACTAAAATCTATGACTCACACAAACCCCCCACCCTCTCGAACCTCCCTCTCGTCTCTCTCTCAAGATTCACTCTCCTCCTCTCTCTGCCTCAGGATCAATATAATATGACATTAATAACTCCTACCACGAAACTGGACTCAAACGTTCACACAAAAATGTTCAAGTATGCAGAGTACTGGCATATCCCATCAAAATACTTCACCTACTAGGATGACACATCTATTCTCATTCTTTTCACCTACAAAAATTGTAACAGAAACAGGGCTCTAACCCAGACATACTTCAACTCATCTGCTCATAAAGAGGTTTTACTGCAGCGGTGAACAGTCCGGGAGGATTCGAGTACCTGGCGATAACCCTTTACCACCAAAATATTAGAAACACCTTCCTCCAGGTTCAATACATTGCAAAATCTGTGATAAGTGATGTGATTTCCTTTGAATTGTTCAAATGCAATCTCAGTACTTATAATGAAAACTCCTATAGACCTATCTACCTTTATCTAATTATTCGGCCAATTTTTTATATTTCCTCTACAGATGTATATTAATCTAATTTATTCTTCATTAGTTGTGAGAGCTGTAGCCACTGCCGATGCACGACGAACAAAAAGATCCAGTAACAAATAGAATGGAAGTTAAGTGTTATTGACTTTCTCTTCTCTCTCTTTCTCTCTCTCTCTCTGTCTCTGCTCTGCTCATCATTCTCTAGTCGCTCTCGTCCATCATGTTCTCTCTCTCTCCTCTCTCGTCTGTGTCTTCTCTCTCTCTCTTTCTCTCTCTCTCTCTCTCTCTCTTCCTCTCTCTCTCTTCTTACATCTGGATATGTGCCGTTGGCAGTATTGGATTTTTCTTAATACTTGTAAATGGTATTTTCTTTAAGAATATTTATACTGTTAGATATTTAAATTATTTAAGTGAACAAATGGTAATTGTGATTCGCATATCCAGCAGAGCATTTTGCATAGGTTATTAAAAATAAGCAACCTAACTGGCATCTATCGAACTCGAGTTGGCGGGCATTGAAGGGGTCAGGCGACGAGGCAGTGTCACGCATGCGCAGAAGCAGGGGGCTGAGCTAATTCTCGACGAGATGATATGGCTCCGCCTCCACGAACTATGACGTCATGAGCCCGACGCGTCCGGCATCAAAACCCGGACGCGAGAGTTCGCGTCCGGGGACAACCCGGACGTCGGGTTTGAAAAAAGGAGATGACGGCCATAGTTATAATATATTTAATGATATCTTTATATTTAGGCTGATAAAAAAGAGAACTGATTATTTTAGAAATAGATTAACTAAAATGAAATATTAGTTATTTCAGATATAGTTTTAATCTTTTTAAAGACAAAATTGGAAACCACACATGAACATAAAATAGCTTCCACATTTCAGCAAAATATATATCTGATGAGGCTCCCAACCAACATTTTCAGGTAATCCTTTCAATAGAACACCTGTGTGAAACAAATGCTGCGGGAGCGAATGGCATTGCTTTTCGCTTTATCAGAGACAGTTGTACTGCAACAGTGTATCATCTATATATGTATGTATGTGTGTGTGTGTGTGTGTGTGTGTGTGTGTGTGTGTGTGGTGTTGACTTCCATTTACTTGGGAACATGGTATTATAACAGATCTCAAATCCGGAGACACAGACCAAGTTAATAACTATCGCCTTATTACCATACTCCCTAAACTGTCCAAAGTACTCAAGAAAATCGTAGGAGACCAATTGACCACATTTCCAGAGACCAGTAACCTACTATTTAAACTGTTTACTTGAAACAGCAACATAACAAATAAGATTAATGGTAACAGAGACAACAATTTCATAACCTTCCTTATATTGTGCGATTTTTCCAAGGCTTTCGATAGTGCTAATCAGATTTGAATTAGAATCTAATCAGCCAAACGTCTTGAGAATATGTATATACAAATCAGACTATCTTTCGGTGTCCGAAGCGAATTTATATTACGTCCTAATTTCTTTACAATGTTTGTAATTGATCTACCATTGTTCAAAATTGTCTTCTTGTTCAATACGCCGATGGTTAACAGTTTCTTCTTAACGATTATGTAAACAACTTTGTTAAAAAAAAAATACATTTTATATTCAGTCGCCACAACATAGAAAAAAATCCTGTAAGCACTACCACAGAATTTGAAGACAGTTCCGTATAACCAAGCATTTCCGTAAAAATACACAAAGAAAAATATGTATCTGAGACCCATGTCAATAACATTAATCTAAGCCACGCAGATAAAACAAAATGATGATAAATAAATAGAAATATCAATAAAATCTTACTGAAAGGAGCATCTATATTGTGCAAAAATTGTCTCAGTTTCTATTAAGTTCCTCAAGCATATGTCTCAACCAATCAAAAAAAAAAAAAAAAAAAAGTAAAAAAAATGCTGGAGAGTAGCACATGGCAATGCAAATAACTATAAAAATATTAATTGACATTTGAATACACTAAAAGGCGATGAAAGTGCACAACAAATCATAATATTTGCACGCATTAAATCATTCTTATCTCTTCCAACCACTAGTAACAACCTGTGTCCAAACAAGACAAGCACTATTTACATGAAAATGATTTGTGCAAATATTGCTCTCTTTCTCTCTCTCTCTCTCTCTTAATGATCTATTCATGTATCTGTCTGTCTATAATTATCTCTGATAATATAGATAATAATAATAATAAAAAATAATGTTAATAGTAATAATGATAATGTTAATAGTAATATAATAATCATCATCATCATAAAGATAAATAATAATAATAATATAATAATAATATAATGACGATAA